TTATTTTTGTACAGCCGAAACAGAAAAACGTCATTTAATTAAAAAATGGTTGAATAAAACATTCACGGGTTTTAATCAAAGAAGATTATACATTATAAGAGATACAGTAAAAAACTTTCACTCGATATACTTCCAGGCAAATCACAAACGCTGAAATGTCAAAAAATAACATAGCTAACTATATAAATCTGCGAGCTTTTAAGTAATTTAAATTCTAATCGAGTTAACAAGATAGAAACGTACAATAATATACTTGTACAAGCACATCATAATTAAATTACTAATTATACAATTAAATTTGCTCGAAAACCATAGTAACGTTTTTAAATGGCAAAAATGCAATATTAATAACAATATTTTAACATGTGTGGTGTAGACTATCGGGTTTGATTCTTTTACTCCGTAAAACCAACATGTTAACTACCCTGCGCCCTATTTAATAATTTTTAAAGTAATAATGGAATCTAAAAAGTATATATACCTGTTCGTGTAGGTATGAGAATTTAAGTATTTTTGTACGAATGGATAACATAAAAAATATTCCCACTAGCGTTGACTGTTGTAAAAATAGAATAAATATTACTACCGCAATATTTAAATTCTGTAGCTTTTTGTGCGTGTATAAGTGAAAATACCTTTGTGTATTTATTCCCCAAAGCCTATATAACAATAGGCTAGGTTTCTTTTTGTTAGAAGCAAACTAATATTGAATAAAAGTGAATTCCGCTTGTTCGCTGATAGATAAGTAAATCTGACAACATTGCGTTGAATAGCTGATTGATACTAAAACGAGCTTGTTCACAATGGAAAGATGTGCTTCGCATAAGGAACGAGCGGAAACAATCCGTTTGCCTGGGCCTGAGTCTAGTTGTCTGGGTAAGTATAGTCTGGTCTGTGTATAGCTGTTGTCTATAGACCGCCTTGTTTCCCTGTAGACTTATTCGTTTTACTCATCCGCGTCATTCCCAATAACACTCGGTAGACATACAGTAAGTAAACAAAAAGGTCTTTTCGTATAGAAAACCAAATTTTGTTTTTAAAAAATTGTATTTTCGCTACTGCAGCGGCTTGGCTGTCGGTTTTGCGCTCGCAGAAGTGAAAAGTTATCGTTGGAAAGAAACGGATTTATGGCGGTTTTTTTCACCTATTGTTTCCCGCCACAAACCCTATTGCGCTGCTATCCGTGATTTCAACAAGAAAAACGATACACCAACAGATGTTGGCCATACGCACCCACGCATTACAGTAGCGGTACGCCCATGTCTAAGATTTATAGCGGTACATCGAAGACGTGACGTGATTTACCTAGGTATATGTTAGGTGTATGTAGGTTATAGGTAGGTACGATGATACGGTGCAGTGTATTATACACATGACACACGCGGTACCCAATTTCACTGTTACTCCCGACGACTTGTGGTCGTTTATATATAGTGTATGTGTTTTTAAATTTGTACTGTTGTATCCCTTAGCGGGCATACTCATCTGTTTCGTTCTGTTGCTGAAAGCCACTGGTTTTGTATTACATTCCAGCTATAGCCTATATTTCAATGTAATAAGTAACTGGTGACAACTAGAATTTTAAGAGACTCAAGTCGTCTTCAGCCATTAGTGTCTGAACTACTTATGCTTGGACTTTAAATAATAATAAATTAATTCTATATAATGTAATTAAATGCGTTATGTTAACACGCAAGATCAAGAGCGATAATATTGACCGTAACAATAAGGTACATCATACATGGTGACCTTAAGTTATATGCCTGAAAGCCATTTAAGTTAGGGTGACCATAAAAATAAAATAAAAATACGGGACATTTCAAAAAACAAAATAATCTGATGAATACTTTTTTAAATATATAGTAGATACATGAAAACAAATTTATTTTGATATTAATGGTGAACTAGTTAAGAATTAAGATTATACATGTATTATATAAGTTACCTAACTAAATATAATAATATAAAAAAACAAATTTAAATTTAATGTGTACTGTATCATGTTTTTTATATATAAATAAAATATGGTTAGTAAATATTCGTACGTAAACAAAAACACAAAAATATTTATTTTGATGACGATGGTTGGTCTTCTTCTGCTATTTTTGTATACTTTTGTGCTGAACTAATTGCATCAAGTAATTTATTTTCTTTTAATAAAATATTATAAAAATCATTGCAAGAATAGTTTGAAAAATGTGTTTTCACTATGATAATTGATTTTATAGTTTCAACTAAAAAACGATTTTTTTCGTCCGTCCATAAGACATTAATGGTAAAAAAAATCCTTTCTACTGCAGCATTTGTACCCGGCATTGCTAAAGCATATTCTACAATTGCTGATATGTTAGTTGTGTCAATGTTATGAGCTTTAGTGTACTCAAATATTTCACACCACTTAACTTCCAATTTAGCTGAACTTTTTTGCCATTCATTTATTCGTGATTGAAAAACTTGTTCAATATGACTGAATTCGTCAAACAAATTATCTTCATCCAGTTTTAGGTTTGAATTATTTTGGTTTTTTTCTATAAGAAATTGTATACATTTTTGAACATTTTCCTTAGTAGGGCAATTTATTAATTAAACCCAACGAAATACTTTTAACTCGTCAAAATGGCAACCCCATTTTTCTATGTAAGATAAAAAAGTGTTATAAAATAGATCAGTACTTTTTTTGAATGAGTTTTGATCATACATATTATTGTTTTTCAAATCATTTAAAATCGATAAATTATTTGATGTAAGAAAATTTTGATTTTTTCTATTTTTTATTTTTCCAACCAAAATCTCTAATTCCTCTGCAACTTCACATGCTGATATTTTATCTCCTTCTATTTTTGTCACAGTATCACAGACAACTTTTAATTGGCTTTGCAAAAACTAAAACCATACTTTAGACATAGGATCATTAAAAAAGATTTTAAAATGGTTGGACACTTTTCCTGTTTTTCGAAGTTAAACCTTAGTAAATATCAATAATTCTTGTTATGGCCGGTAATAAAGATAGCCAACGAGTTCTTACACTTCCAAGTATGTTTTTATATTCGACATTTGCATATTCGCAAAACTCTTTCAAATGTTCAACTCGAACTGTATAGATATAAATAAATTGAAAAATTTTGTTCACTATAATTTCTACGTCAATAGGTAACACATCAGCACTTGATTGAATTGCATTATGCAAAATATGAGCAGCGCAACCTATCCCATTAATATTCGTTTTTAAATTATTATTTAAGATTGAAAAAACATTTTTTTTTCCTTTTCGTAAAATACCTCCAAAGTTAGTATTGCAATTGTCACCAGAAAATGCAATAATTTTATCCAATAACTTGTATTTTTTCAAACTTTCAATTATGTAATTTGATAAAATATCTGCGGTTTCTCCTTTAAAATTTGTCACTTCAAGAACTTTAATTTGTACTCCCAGATTTGGATTAAAATGACGTATAAAATAGGTACGATTTTCAGATTTTTATGGTTAGAAGTAGCTATCATGATAGTAGCAAAATTATTATTTTCTAATTCCTTACAAATCTGTTGCATGGCGAAAGGAGCTAGCACATTTAAAACAGTCGATTCAGCCTTAGTTCGAGCACAAATTAATTTTTTATTATAAATTTGTTTTAAAAGAGATGATGTGCAATCCATCGATCGAAATGAGTGATTGTGTACAACTATATGAAATGCGAATATCCCTTCTTGTGCCGCGGTACGTCTACTTTCGTCAGTGGATCCACTCGGATTATTCTTTAAAAAAAAAGAAGTTACCTTTTCATTTTTTGATGCAGCTGATAACGCCAATAAATGTTTTTTCACTTTTGTGGTATGTTGTTTTATATCTGAAAGTCCACCATGTTCTATAGAAAATACCGATTTACATATTGTACAAAACACTTTTCCAACTTCATCAGCATCTTTTAAAAAGGAAATTCGGATTTTAAATTTGGAGCAAAACACACATCCTTTTTGGCATTGTGAGAAAAAAATAAACAAACTGTATATTTTAAATGACACCACTACGACTGAACACTATTACTACGACGGACAAAATGTAGTCTGAAGGAGTACAAATATTATAACAAATAACATTTACAATGATACATAGATCTAATAATATTGTAGATAACGAACTGGCCGCGACCAGTGAGATTGTTCTAATAATAATCCAATGATATCAAAACATACGAAAATATAACACTATTATGGTATTATGACATTATATACGTTTTATATCACCGACAACAATGTGACGCAACAATTATAATCAAAATAAGAATCTAAAAATACCTACCACTGAAAAATAATAGATTTTAATATTCTATATTGAATAATGTTTTACAAAAATATCGTAAACAAAACGATTTTATAGTAAAATAAATTTCAGAAATTATAAATTAACGGTATGAAAAAAACGGCATTAATACGGGACGGACTTGGAAAAACGGGACAAAATGCGTCCCGTATTACTTTTGTCGGGACAACGGGACACAAAGTTGAAATACGGGACAATCCCGTATAATACGGGACGTATGGTCACCCTAATTTAAGTCCAGTCAAGTATAATTATTGGTATTATCGACTGGTATTAGTTAACAGTGATACACTATATCAGTGCCTGTAAAAAAAAAAATTGATCAATTCACATTACTGTGGACAGTTTAAGGCTATTTTCAGAATCCATTGGACTAAAGTGAGATAACGTTAGTTTAACCAAGAGAATTCTTTTAGCTATATTGCAGTTGATCATTTAAAAAGTGTTTACTATAAATATGGTAAAGAATCATACGCTTATAAGTGATCATTCGGACTAAATGTAACAATGTCACACTTAACTTTTTTTTCCAAACTTAGCTAAAGATAAAGATGATAAACCTAATTTCATTTAAACCATAGTATTAGGTAATTAGAAAATAGTTTCACTATTAATTAATTTAGTAATTTATTAGCTTAATAACTCTAGTTATCTAGTAGGTAACTGATTCGAAAGCACTTACTGAGTACATGTAGTGTGTGTTTCAATTCCAACGTGTTCAACGTTCCAATCTGGCATGTGTAATTTCCTGCATCGCTTACATGGGCATTGCGAATTTCTAGATTATATCCTTCGACGATCCGGTAGCGTTCTTCCGGCATTACCTTTGTCGTGCCAGCTGTTAATATTGCAATGCCTTTCCTCCAAGCCAAAACAAGGTTATCTGGAAAACAATATTATGTTACAATTATAATCACTTATATATAAATATTTTATTATTTTAGAATGATAAAATATTATAAATGTAAAACAGTTGTGTAAAAAATAAAAATACACTCAGTTGGACCCATGGTGGTATTATGCAAAACTCTTTTTGTTGTGGCTTCATTATTTTTATTTTGTGCCCGTTTTCGTTGTAAAGTTACTTTAATTGTTTTTATTAACTGTTTTATAGCTTCGGGCTAAAATAATATGGTTATAATGTGAATCGTTTAAAAGCACCATGGGTGATAGTGTGTATAAAACAAACTTTACTCGTACCATTATGTTACTTTATTTATTTATTTTAATTGTAATAGTTTATTTTTATTCCTGTTATGTATCCTCAGTACAATCAATTAACTACGACGAGGGATAGTCTAAATTCAGTTCTAGAGTATCGAGTGTTTTAGTAGAAGTCCGTGTACGGTACATTGTTAAAGATTAAATATAGACCACGTCATGTATTTTTTTGGCAACCCCATGTTGGATTCAAACCTATATTAACCTTATTATTGCTTGCATCCATTTTGTTGCCATAGTCGGTTATCATGGAAATTTATGTGTACATGAACTATGTAGGTATGTACATTAATTAATTTATGAACTTTAATAGTGTACTATGGTTACCATTTGCTTGCGTAAAGGCAGACGAACGTTACTGGTTACGTTAGTGTACTGATATAGTCTATCTAATACCCCGTGTTACTTTTATATAGCACGGTATCTATACTTTTTGCGTTCTGTTTGTATATAATAAAAATAATATAATATAAACGCCCGAAGGAACAATCGGTAGAGAAAACTAATTAAAATATTCATGTACAATCACTATACGAGCGGGAACGTTACCGGTCTTATTTCTAATCTAACAGATTGTTCGGCTGTTCCTTCAGTTGCTCCGAATTGTTCTTCCGAAATAACAAAACTCGATTAATGTTGACTTTGATTGTACAACTTACATCACAAGAGTTTCTGAGAAACATCAAACAATGTTTACTCTACTTATACTTGTACCGAGTTGCCATTTAAACAAGTTCAGTCAGCATCAATATAGATTATCGTGCGCACACCAAGTTAATCAGTTCCCCTTAAATCTGTATAAAATACACACACACACACAAACATCTATATGTCTTTGAAAATGTGCTGTGTGTGTAGGATAATATAACTGAACGCATTTTAAAATGTAAATCATATAGCGTTTGCGAATATTTTGTACATAGAGGTTGTCGTTTTGTTGTTTTGAAAGTCGAATAAGTCGACACCGATTATTATACAGCCAATCACATATGCAAAATTCATACCGTCAATACCTCGGAGCTTGTTTAGTTCATCAACGCGTCTTCCTCTCCGGAAGTTCGTACGGATAAAGTAATAAAACGATGGCAATTCATAACAATGAAAATGACAGCCGTACCGAATTTCACTGAACAACACTCGCAAACAACTCAACGGGCTTCTTCTTCACTTTTACTACTCTCTAAGAATTTTTGCCGTCAATACCACATCGCGCCATTTACTTAACGGCTTTATTGAGGATGTTTAACTGCTGTATTAAAGAATTACTTCTTATAGGTACAGCAAAAGGAAAGTGTTTTTTTTTTTTAACAATTTATAGACAAAAATTATTTATACAATTTTATTGGACATTTCCAGATTTTAAATTTCATTATTTTTCCGAGTTTAGAGCTGTTCTCAGCCAATTTGAAACTGGAAGCGCACTAGGGCCAATTTTTTTCTGAATAAAAATTGTATTTCTTATAAATAATTGAACAACATAAGAGATAAATGTTATTGACGTTCTTTACAAAATTAAAAGTTGTCAGGTAAGTCCCTGTTTGTGTGTACGCTGTATAGAGGTCCATTTGGCCATGGTAAGAAAAACATATAATATTTTTTCAAGCTTTCCGCTTTTAATCGTCTCCGGTTAAGATAAACCGTCTTTCCCCTTCAGATGATCCCCCTGAACCCACTGCAATTACCCGGAAGACGTATGGCAGACATTTTGTTAAAATCGCAGCCGATGCTTCCGGCTTTTGTCTAATTAATTGTTTACTGTCCAATTAATGCACAGTAAAAAAAAAACGGATAAATAATGGTCGAAGAATTCACCATTGTAGTTGGACCAATAGCATGCTTATAAATATTATATTAATATGATATATAAATGGTAGCTGTCAAATAAGCTATTATAAAATGTTTAGTAAACATTTCTGATGTTTTTTTTTACTATAATGTCGTTTAAAAAAAATTACTCATATTTTTATGATATAATAATCGAGCTACAGTAAATCATAGTCGAAAACGCTCTGTGATATAATTATACTTTTTTTACCAACGACCACTCGCTAGAAAAAAATGTTGATACAGTCATTGTACATTGGTTACCTAAGAAAATAAAAAGTTCAAGTTGTTAAAAAAAAAGTATGCTTTGATATTACGCTACAATACTAACTCATTTATTAAGAAAATAATTAAATAAAACAGTAAAATAACAATGATTTTAGTAGTGTCTTTATTGCATAATAGCTAAAATAGTTTTTAATCAAATGAAGAATATAAGACAACGGGCTCTCGTTGACATTTCAAATTTAATAATTGAGCTTCTAATCGGTTTTCGTAACAAAACATATGACCTTACATGGGTTCATTCAATCGACTGGTGTGATTTTAATTTTTTTTTAACGGTTTAGATAATATAAAAAAATATTATCAAAACCTACGTCCCGTCGAGAGAGTTGATAGGTAAATTTATATAAACATGTTTTATTTTACTGTCCTGTATTATTATTATTTTTTTGAGATGGACAATATGTTTATGACACGTTTGAAAAAAAAAAATTATAAATCCGTGCACGTGCAACAGGGGAAGCAATATTGAAAAATAGTTTTATTCCGGACGTTTGTGTACCGATACGGTTTACACTGGCCAACTCAAACTAAAAAAAAAATATATGCGATATAATAATCTTATATAAATTTCAAGAAGCGCCGACATATTACGGGGAAAACAAATTGTTATGGTAAGATTCGTCAGCGATGACAGCGTAATGGATTATACAAAATTGAGATCCGTCAAAAAACCAACAGCAAGTAACTTTGGCTGTTTAATAGGTTTGCTTTTCCCTTCCTACATGCATACATAATATGATAAATAACTCACTCGGTCGAGTTTCAGCATTGTGGCGCTTTGAATAAATTAGCTTTAAATAGCGGAAACGGTGCTGCAAAACAATTTGGTAAACCATTACAGCTGCTGATGTTTTGTTTATGTTTTATTCAAAAGTTTTTTCCACTAAACAAATACTTTCACGTTTTAATTGAATCGGTTTTATTGAAAATTCGAATTTTATTCTACAGCTCTGTGTCAAAACTCCGTATTTTGATTCAACTGCAATGGTTTAACATACATTTCAAATCGAGTAAAATATCACGATAAATTTAAATAAAACATAGTGCAATATAGTGTAGCTTGGTGAGTTTTGTTTATATTCAATTTACAGAGTATTCTGTTTTGTGTCTAACGATCGGAAACAATTAACTTTTAAAATGGGCATTTTAAAGTCGGGAAATGATTGCATGGTTTCACTCGAAGTAAGAGTTTCAATCCAGTAAGAGTTCGGCTTACTGTTCACAAACATACACTACACGTTTGTTAAATATACGGAAACCAGTAACTGTCATAAAACAAATGAGTACGGTCACAAGTAAGTTTTGGAAAAATATAAAGGGTAATATAATTAAAGACTTAAAATGCCAACGCTGACGGTCGTACTGTCAATAGTTGTAAGTGCAAAATTGATTTTCCAACATTTATGTAATATAAAAAAACTCCCATTCAGTGTTTTTGCAACCGTTATTGTAAATGCTTTTGAAGCGACAGTTATTGTAGTTGAATAGACGGCCATCGAAGTGGTCCATTACCAATGCGACAATTATGTGGGTTACAATAAATAGTAATGGATAAATCTATTGACCATCGATATCGATTAATGTTGCTTTATACAGCATTTGATAGGTGGTAAAGCTTTTAATTAGTCTGTTTCGGTGCTTCATCCCTAAAAATAAATGTAGTGCTTACTGAACTCTTATAACCCAATACTTCAAACAATTTTATGTTTTCACTTTAAGCGAGTCGTTGGTCGATTTATCGATATTCAATTAGTATGATTACTTGGATGCCATATATTAAGCACCCTTGGGGTACCTATTTGATGTGATGTTGTTGTAGGTCTTAAGTATTCAATTACTTGAAAGTAAAGATTTTTATGTGACTTTGCGAATACGCGACTAAGATGGATCTTAGCTGTTCAATGGATTGGTAGTAGATTTTTTTCATAAGACTTATAATTCCAATATTTCTTTTACTAGCATAATATCATAAAACAATTAATTTAAAACTCCTTAATACAAAATACTGTAGAATCCACAACTCTACTTATTAAGCACCCCCTTATAGGATATTTTTTGAAAAATCTTAGTTTTAAGCTAAAACCATTGATTATAAATATTTATAATCAATGCTAAAACTAAATTTCATATATTTTATTAGTACAGCATTGGGGATTCTTTATAAATAATTATGTTTTTAATAAGAATATCACATTAGTCAATATAACGTTTCTAAATATTTGTCTAACTTAAATTAAGCCTCGCAAACCATTTTTGCTAAGTTCATAATGAGCTTAAAATAAAAACATAAATTATTAAATTCTTAGAATATAGATTTTTTTCCTGAAGGATGTCCATTGTTGGATTTTTAATTAATTAAACTGATTTTTTATTATTTTATGAACCTACTTTGTTTATACAATCAAATAGCTATAATTTCGTTACTAGATATTATTTTGAAAATCCGCCAACATGCCCTTCAGGAATGTTTTATTTTCCCCAGAACACTTACTAGAGATAGGTGCCAAATAAATATTAACTGAGATATAAATAACTATTTTGTAATTGTTT